CAGCCCTGCCCTTCCCATATTAGATTCTTGATGAATGTGTGTTGTTGTTATTCAGCCTGGTTCAATGTGCCCCTTTTTAACTTTGAGCACCCGCCCCTCTAAACCTCTCTGCACGTCCCTGGCTGTGGTGACCCCTGAGGATTATTATCAGGGGCAAAATTTAGGAAAATCAAAACAGGTATTGTTACAGTACAAATGTCAGCTGACTCACAATCATGTAGACAGACATCCCAAGTCTCAATAAGCAAATGCAACAAAATGTAATCAGGCAGGCTGTGATAAAAAAAAAAATAAAAAAAAATGTATCTAAACTGCCAAAGATTAAAACGTATAACATTTACTATCTATGTTTTTCTAGTTTTGTGAGTTAGTTTTCCTTTTTTCCCAAATTAGCTTTTTAGTTAACTATTGTAAACATTGATCATGCATTGAAATGCACATTTCTGTCATTTCTATGCTGCTAGTAGAAAATTGTGAGTAATACCACCACAGGAGAAAACTCACCTCAATGAATAGGGGATAGAAAAAGAACAGTAACCCGGGACGTAATCGTAACAATACTAGAACAGAAAATGAAAAACAGTGATTTGGTCTATTTTATTAGTAAATTATGAATATTCCTAACAAAAGAAAAGTTTTACAATGACAGTGGGTTTCAGTATTTTGGGAAATTTCAAAGCCAGTGCGTTTCTATTACAGTATGAATTCATCACTGTGTTTGCTCAATCTGTGGAATCACATTGATGACAATCTTCCCCATGTTTCTGTTAGCTTCCATGTGCTTATGAGCCTCTGCAATGTCATCCAGGCTAAATGTGCTGTCAATCACTGGCCTCAGGGTGGCAGGCTGGTCTGAGAAATATGGCAACACCCTGCCTGTAAAAGCTTTCACCAGGTCAGCTTTGTACTGTGAAAGGAAAATGCAAAGAACATATCAGGTCCAGTTGCAAACATATATATTACAAGAGATGTCTGAAAAGTAACCCAAGCAAGTTGCCTCATTTTGGCAAACCAGACCCAGGAGAGGAAAGCGACACTGACATGAGTCAGCGCAGAGATGAAGAAACACAGCTGTTGTGTCACTTCTGTTTTCAATTCTTACCTGCAGGCTGCGAGAGCGGAGGAGACTAGTGAGCAAGTGGCCTCGCTTGGACAGCAGTTTGCCCAGCAGATCTCCCTCTACCGCCCTCCCTCCCATGGTGCCGTACAGCACCCACCTGCCATCGATGGCCAAAGAGCTCACATTTGACTCCCAGTTGCGCCCACCAATGCAATCAAGGATCACATTTGCTCCCTTGCCTGTGAAATTAGAGATTTTACAATTACAGGTAACTGCCCTTCTCCAATACAATCACGTTCTTGATTCAAAATAGCTCCAAACCAGAGATGCTAATCTTATTTTACATCATGGCCCACCACAGCCCACTTTGACTCCATGTTTAGTGTGAAAGTTTAGGAGTAAACTAATGCTGTGGTCTATACTGAATAAAGCCTTTAACTCAGTTTATTTGCATATCATATCCTCTTATGCAGATTTATTATTTCGGTGACCTTTTCCACCCATTGTGTTCAAATATATTCAAAATTCTTTCAGTGTTTTGTGGTGTAGGTTAGCTAGGCTAAACAAGACCAATGAAGACTACATTTCTGCAGTGGAGAGTGAAAATACAGGAACTATTCTATCCTTCCGCTGTTTTTAATGCTACTTTACTACATTAGTGCAGTATGAATGACCATGTGGGAGGTTTGTATCAGTAGGAAAAGTTGTAAATGTAATGAAAATACACCGAGAACTCCAATCTTTATGCCCTCCTTTGCATTTTCCAGTGGGCCTGATTGGACTCTTTGGCAGGCCGATTCTCCCCCCCGGTCTTATGCTTGACCCCTCTTCTAAACAAATACACTGTGACAGATTGAATAAAAAAAATTTTTGAACTAAAATGACAAAACAACTAATTTTTCTTTTATCCTTGAAAATGAAATCATGTGTTTTGACTTGCTTCTTAAGTATTGACGGAGGATTTTTTTGGAGTTGGTTACCAAAGCTCTTTGATGTGCATTTATTAGAAAGCTACAGAAGAGCTATGTAGCATTAAGCTCTGATTGCTACAGTGGTTGGAAACATTTAACTCTAATATAATGCCTGTGAAACAAAGACAAAACATTTGATAGCAATCTGAAGTATGCAAAAACAATGCTATCATTAGGAATTATCAGCAGAGACACTGCACTGTCGCCTGCAGGAAAATTAAATGCATGTTGATTTCCATAATTCACCTCCAGTGAAGTCATGCACTCCCTGTGCAAAGCTCTCCTCTTTGTAGTTGAATCCAACTACAGCGCCCAGTTTCTCAGCCAGCTTCAATTTTTCTGGGCTCCCGGCAGTGACAACCGGCACACCCCGAAACAGACGAACAAGCTGAACGGCCGCTGTTCCGACTCCGCTGCCTCCAGCGTGAACCAGCACCACCTCACCCTCTTTCACCTGAGCTGGAGCAGAGAAGACCGATGGCAAGTATAGAATTTGAACCAAATCTGACTTTGGCCTCTTGTTAATTAAAAAAAAGTCAAATAGAAATAAATGTGACTCATTTAATAACTCAGTTGTCTAATCTTTATCCAAAAAACATATGAATATGAAGAAAAACAAAGAGACACAGAAATGTTTGTTATACCAACAAAATCCAGCAGTTGGAAAGCAGTGAGCCAGGCCTCTGGGATTGCAGCAGCCTGACACATTGTGAGATTAGAGGGAACGGGCATGAGAAGCTCCTCGGGCACAGAAACATATTCTGCATATCCTCCTCCACAGAGCAAAGCCATGACGCGGTCATCTGGTTTCCATTGCTTTTTCACCCCTGGACCCAGGGTGTGGATAGTACCAGCTACCTCCAGGCCTATGATGTCACTCTCACCAGCAGGAGGAGGGTACAGGCCTCGTCTCTGTGGAAAACACAAGATAATTATTTTTAGGCCTGTGTTATGCAAATTTAGATATAATTCAGAATACAGTGAGTCACAGAAGACTGAAAGCAGGCTATGAGATTTACGGGAGATAATAGCACTGTGTTGTGCTCTTTTGGCTATAATAATAATCTACCTGTAACAGGTCTGCTCTGTTGAGGGCAGCTGCATGAACTTTAATCAGGACTTCTCCTGCTTTGGGATTAGGTCTGGGAACAGACTGCAGCAGCAAATTCTCCGGTCCTCCGGGTACATCAACACACACTGCCCGCATCATCTTGGCAACACTAA